GAGGGGCGCCTGACCATTGATGTCACTGTGCTTCAGGCTCCCCTGGTAATCTCCAAGGCTGAGTCCCTTGAAGACAGGATGCTGTAGGGGAGAGAGGGTGAGGTGGTAATGGGGAGGGGCGGAGCTTGGTGAACAGGTTTGCAAATATGCTCCAGCCCTTATATGGCCCGTGAGCCAGGAGTTTAAGACCCCGACCGACACAGTTTATGGCAGACTGCAGCAACTAATGTCTGAGTTCCATAGACTCAGGCTTGTGGAACTTGGGTTTCCACACTAACAATAACTGTGTAGACATTTCAGCTCAGGCTCTGAATCCTAAGGAGCAGGGATGGCGAGCAGGGAAGAGGAGAGCAGGGTTTGCAGTTTGCCCTAGAACTTGTACTCTGGTATCTTCACAGCTGTTAATGTGGTAGCTTAAGCCTGTTGACCAAGGCTCTGAAACTTGCTGCTGCAGGCCATCTAGACATACCCCTAGAGTCTCTCGTAGGTGCTCATCTTTTCTGTTTTCCGTTTTGGCATAGTTTATGCTTTTTTATGTTGGCCTCAGTAGGGTGAAATTTCCATTTATACATTAATGGAATAGATCTTAGAATAACCTTTTTTGAGGTTTCTCTGTTGGAAGCTAGTTGAAATTTGAATATGACTTGAGGTTTTTTCCAATTTGACGTTACTTTTAAGTGTGGACACCCTGATGGGATAGTTTCTGATATCACATTAGAACCCACCCTAATGTAGCAAAATGCAAATGTTTTCATGTTATGTTCTTTCAGAAATCAGTTGTTTTCCAAACTTATCTATAAACCCACATGGGCAATGTTTTAATAAGTTAGTGTAAATGAGCCAGATAATTCTTTGAAAAAGTCAACAAGAGTTTATAGGCAAATCCCTTTGAAAGTTTTGGAATCTGGCTCCTTCAGTGTATATGTGATATAAGGGAGGGATGCTAAATCATTCTGTACTGATGGAGAATAAGATTGAACTGCCATCATTCTTGCTAAATTGTTATTTGTCACTAAACCATAGCAACAGAAAGAGATCAACTTTCACAAGATATGATGGGCTTGAATTTCTGGGAACTTGGAAGTAAGTTGGCTTCATTCCAAAGAAATGTTTAGTTCTCAAAGATGTTTACTATGAACTAAAATGAAACCATGTAATGCTTTTGAGGCGGATAAAGACAATAAAGATCTTCAAAAAGAAACAAGTACATTTTTTTCCCATTTTCAGTCTGATGCCTTGAGAATGTGCATATGTGCTGGAGTCTTTGGTGTCCATTACATTTGTAGTATTTTTGGTATGTTTAGATAAACTCTTGAGCCAAGCAAGAACACTTTCTGTCTTACGGGGAAGATTGTTTGTAGCCATGAAGTTGTGAATTGTATAAAACTGTGAGCAATATTCTAGTATAAACACACATTTCCTGGATTTAATGGAATTGTTGGAGAAATGTGACATGCATTTGTTAAAGAAAAGGGGTTTATTCATAAAAGATAAATTTGTTTATGCAGTGTAATTATGAGAAATACTCTAATAATCCTAAAGAAATGTGCTTAATATTTTCTAGATTAGGTAACTGAAGAAAAACTCTAAACAACACACTGCCACACCACCACCAGCACCACTCCTCAAATGCTGACATAAAATTTCTAGATAGTCTTAATGAAGCATTTTTAGATCAGGTTCTTTGCCTTCTTAATTTGGCTTTAAAGGGATTTCTTGTTGACATAGTCAGAAATTTGCACAAGGATCACTTCTAATCAGTCATCTGTCTCTTCTGTAGTTTAAGGATTATTCCCGAGTCCTTTTGCATTTCATTTATGCAGTAATCAGAAAAGATGTTGTACACCACTCTCTTCGGATTCCGTTAGAAAACAAGTCTCGTGAGAGAGCAGAAATTAGCAGATAAGTTTAGGTTATTTTATATGTGGGACTAATTTTCTATGTGTACACTAGAGATTGTGCCAATTTTGGATTCAGGTAGAAATTTTTCCTGAATGGCAAATCTAGCAGTAAAAATCTTTAAGTGACATAATAAATGGCTAATATAATATATCAGATCACTAAATTATATTGGTTTGCATCTATCTCCAAGAAGGACCCAGACGTGTTCTTAGTATTCTGCTTTCAGCAGCTAATCAGAACATGTGATTTTTTTTTTTACATGACATTTTAAGAGTGTTAGCGCAGTAAAATGGGGTTATTCATATCTATTCTTGGAATAAAACTGAACAGTGGATATGTTATATTTATTCATGCTTTTAAAAGTACCTGTAACAGTGTTCTAGTTGCAAAATAATACGTACAATCAAAACTTAATTAAAATGATCATAACAGGAATTTCCAACCCATTGAGCTCCTGCTCCCTTCAACACAGATTAGCTTCTTTTCCTGCACTGTGGAAGAGTATGGGAAAGTAATATAATTAAATCTGAGTAATGTCAGAGTAAAGGTGGAAGTCAGTTCCAGAATTCCAGACAGCGCTTGGCCACCAAAACATCCTTTGTTTAAACCTAATGGTTGTAAGCTTGAGCATCTCAGAAAGTTGCAACTGCAAGATTAATACATAAGGAATAACAAGACCCCTCAAATAGCTGAAACTGAAATAATTTTAGTTCTTTAGAATTCAAAACCAAGAGCTAAAATGGAAGACAATTCAAATGATGCAGCATGAGTGTAATGTGCTTTCTACTGATAATATAGTAACTAGGCCGCTTCTTAGTATGCTTAATAAGCAGGCAGATCATTCTTCACTAGCTAGAAATTCTGAACGGGTTTAAGATACACCCTCATGTGAAGCACATTGCTGTAATCCAGCCTTAAACTGTAAAGAGACAGTTGGCTCCGCTGATGTCTGTATCTGAAAGAAAGGGCCATGACCTTCTTGACAATTACATGTGATGGAAAGAGAGCTCGGCAGCTGCTGCTACCTGACATCTGAAAGCAGCAGGGGAACAAAAAAGGCACTGAGATTGTGAACCTGACTTGCAAATGGCAGGCTTGCTCCCTTGTTCATATGCACTAATATAATTTTGGTCACTGTTTGGAGTACTTCTTCCGGTATGCAATAACTTCAGGTACTTACTGTTAATTAACTCCATTAACTCAATCTTTCCTCAGTTTAGTCTACTGGCTGCCCTTAGCTAATGTCAACCTCCAGAAGCTCTAGTTTTCAGATGTCAGATTTCTCCAATAGTTGAACAGAGAGCAGGGCATTGACAATATGCTGAAAGCAGGTATACCATACCTTCCCTTTAAACTACCTTTATAGCCGCCTCCCCCCCTCCGCCCCATGGTAAACAGGAAGAAGGAAAATAGAACATTTATGACAGAATATCCTTGGCTCAGAAGGGCAATTGCCCAGTCTGGTCCCCTGGGTAATGTAAAAAAGAAAGGAGAATAGCTGTCCTAGAGCCAATCCCATCTGTTCCCATGAAGGTCTGCAGACCTGTTGTGAGCACCAGTATCAAAAGCAACAGACAGAAAAAATATAAGCATGAACAATGGGGTGACATGCTGACTTCCATTGAAATGAATGGTGTAATGGACATAGGGACAGGATTTCACTCTTGATCTTCATTCAACATTAGAAAGAGATTGTCAGCCAATAAACCAGGACAGCTTCTAAACTGTGTTCAAGTAGAAATTCGGGTCTAAAATCACACTTGACTAGAGTCAGACACACAGAATTACTCTTGTGTTTTTTTGTTTTTTGAGGGGGAGGAGGGATCTTTTCTTTTCAGTGAGAACAGAGAATGTGTTTTCTGTATCCTGCCACTGCTCTGGGAATGCTAATAATTTGTTTCCTTGGTAAGAAGTTCAGAACTTTTCAGTCACTGAAAATCGGCCCTGGCCAATTTTGCAGAGTTTTGTACAGGATATCTCTGCAACCCCACTGAGCCCTGACATTTTCAGGGTGGTTTTAGATATGGGTACAAGGATCTGCCCACACAGAGTTATTTGTATGGTTGATGCCTTTGGAATTGTAAGAGCTTATGAAGGTGTGTACGTGGGGGCGGGACCAGCAAAAGCTGGTATGTACTCACTACTCCACACTAACTCCCTGTGTTGGCTAGGGTTATAAACGACTAATCAACTAGTCGACTATCCAGTAAGCAAAAGCTTAGCCGATAGTCGACCCACTAGTTGCTTCCTCACCCTTGCTGCCTCTATCAGAAAGAGGAAGCTTGTGGAGAAGGGGATGGGGGAGGAGAGACGAAGGTGCTGGGGGGAGCCGGCTTAAGAGCCGGTTCCCCCAGTCCAGCTTCGTGGGAGGGAGCAGGAGCGCAGCAGCGGCGTTCCACCTTTAAAATGTACAAGAGTCCCCACTGGGGCTTTTGTACATTTCAGAGCGGAAGCACTGCATGGAGCCTGGGCTCCAGGTGCTGTTTCAATCTTTGAAATGCACAAGAATCCCTCCTGGGGCTCTGGTATAGTTCGAAGATGGAACGCACAGCGTGGCACTTGCACTGATGAAATGTAGCAGCCGCCAGGCAGGCTCTTGCTACATTTCAAAGCGGAAGCGCCCTTATCAGTTAATTGAATATTTAATGGAAATTCCATCAACTCTTTGATTAGTTGATTAATCTAATTTTAACATCCCCAGTGTTGGCAGTGATAGAGTTTTTGTGCTCATTTGCTTAATATGCTTTGGAAGTGTACTAAGCTAAGCCACCTGAGGGCACTCTTAGTGCATCCTAAGAGTGTCCACACGGAGTTAGAGCGGAGTAGCTACTGGTACACTTTCAATTTATACCTGGCTTACTGCACACTAACTTTCCCATGTAGATAAGCTGAAAATCAAGTAAATAAGTGTTTAATAAAGGACTGATAAGAATGATTTAGGCTTTTTTCTCTCAGAGATATGTAATGTTTTTAATATGTGATTGGTAACCAGTTTGGTTTCATGAGATTGTGGAAGAAGTGTACTTCTTGGTAAAAGGAACCTTTTGGTTTTAATTTGTCATCTGTTGTCCTTTTACGTCTCCCCTCCTCCCCCCTAGTCTCCTTGTCAGAAGACGAGAAAGACCAGCTGAGAAAATTCACAAATACATCTTACCTGCTGGATAAAAGAGCCCATCATCAAGTGTATTTCAGTTTAATTGATATCCTTCTGGCATACTGCTATGAAATTTGTATTAATGAAGGAGACAAGAACGTAAGTATTTTTTCCTTAATGAAACTTTAGAAGTGGCTCGGAAGCCTGTGTACAAGACCTTGACTTACCATCGAGAAGGTGTGGCTTTTAAACTGGACTTTGTTCCAGAATTAAATGTTGTGTTTCTAGATTAGCCTATCAAGCAGCTACTTAGAATTGGTATCATTCCAAATAATTGTCATACTAGTGCTCCATTTAGCTGTGGGAGTGAAAGGGAAAGAAAGGGTGTGGTGCAGGAGATATAAAAACAAATGAATCACTTTCAGGTTTTTTCATAGGTCACTGCTATGCTATGACTTGATAATCCTGATAGGGACTACGTGAAAGAACAGCTGTTTGATACTGGTTTTCTTAATGTTTTTTTCTGGATATTTTTACAAGAGAATTATTTGTAATAGCAGTGTTTGGTAATGTTCACTGTCATGGTGGGTATGTCGGAGGAAGGATAGGGTTCTAGAGTTCCAGAGAAGTTGCTGTTTTGAATTGCTTCAGTTGAGGAAATTACATAGCTTTGACGCTTTAAAACAGTGTTTCTTAAATTGTGTTCCACGGCACACCCGTGTGCCATGAGGCAGTCAGAAGTGTTCCGCAGAGAGAACAGAAAGAATTCTGCTCCCTCGTCCCTTTCGGAGCCCGTAGACAGCTCCCGCTGCGACTGCCCTCCCAGCCCGCAGATGTTCCCCATAAAAAAAATATTGTTTGGTGTTCCTCAGTCTTAAAAAGTTTAAGAAACACTGCTTTAAAGCAACTCTGTTTTTGTTTTAAAATGCCTCTTAGAGTGCAGTGCTATGCATGGGAAAACATATAATGAAAAGGTCGGTAAAGAAACTCAAGAAAAACTTTTGAAAGCTTCAAAACATCTACAGAAAACTTTGGCCCCAATTCTGAATATTCTGTTCCCCCTCCCTCACCATAAGTTGTGGAGAAAGGTCTCTTTAAGCCACCTTTGCACCTCTGGTATTCTAGACCTTCCCCATATAAGAGTAACCATAAGTCTCCTTTTACTTACATTCTACAGTAAACTTCCGATAATCTGGCACCTTTAGGACCCAGGGGGTGCCGGATCATCAGATATGCCAGACTATTGGAAGGGGGAACTATGAGGTGTCTGGTGTGGAGTGGGGGGGATGTGCCCCTCGGCGCTGCGGAACCAACCCGGCAGCGCCCCAACTGCTCTGCCCCAGGCGTCCCCAAGTCAGCTGTTGCTGAAACTGACCAGCGACTGACTCGGGAAAGCTGGGGGCAGAGCAGCTCCAGTTGTCCGGCTGCCCGGAGCACTTCCGGGTTCCAGATGGTGCCAGACCATTGGATGCCGGACCACTGGAGTTTTACTGTATTTTTTATAGCCTCCTGTGGGCCATAAGCCCCATAGTCTCCAGCTGTGTTCTCTCCCCTTCTCCAGAGAACTTTTCCTTCATCCCCCTATGCCACAGATTGAGAGAGTAGGCAGCGTTCAGCTGTACTTTGGCCAGGAAGACGCCCTGCAGACCAGGCTTAATACTCTATGAGGGCTGTTACTTCCCCATATTTAGCTACCAGAATGGAACAGATAAAACAGGGTTGGGCAATAATTTTTGCAAGGGGGCCACTTAATACATTTTGGTACATGGTCAAGGGCCAGCTCCATGCCGGAAGGGACGGGGCCTGGGACAGAAAGGTCGGTTCTGGGCACTAGCCTCCCCAAAGAGTTGTCTGGATCTGGAGGCTTTGAAACACAGCAAACAGCTCACGGCTCCCAGCCCCACCACTACTGCATTGCCTGGCAGCCACCTGGGGTTGCTGTGACTATTTAAAGGCTTGTGACTCTGGCCCCTGCCCAGGGTAGTGCCGCAACCTGCAGCCATGAGCCATTTAAATAGGATCCTGCTGCCTGAGCCACAGCCTGGAAATTCAGTGGCACGAGCAGCAAGATATATATTTAAATAGGAAGCGCCCAGATGCAGTCCGAGGGCCGGAGCCGGCTACTGGGTCACATATTGCCCATCCCTGAGAGGAATAGCTCTGCTGTCTCCTGATTGGAGTGAATCCTTAAGGATAGACATTAGAGTTGTGTGCAGAACTTTGCAGGTCTGTACACTTCAACAGTATAATAATAAAATTTGTTTTTATATAGCACTTCATAATTTCAGTGTTCTCTGCAAACACGTCAACTTATCCTTACAATAGCCCTGTGAGATAGAGGGGTAAATGTTGTACTGATTTTTTTTTCAAATAAGGAAACCAAGAGATGCAGAAGTTAATGATTTGTCCGAGGTCACAAATCAAATCTGCATCAGAGCCAGGATTATAATCCTGGAATTCCTGTCTCCTTCTCATTTCTCTGGAGCATAATACCTTACAAATCCCATGAATCTGCCATGCTTTAAGAAGAACCACACTGTACATGCATTGCTGGCTTAAACTCTCCCTTTGGAAGCCAAAAACCTTGAACAGTTTTCAGAGGAAAAAAAAGGCATTTCAATCTGAGCTGTGTTGATTCATTGGGCAGACATTCAAGGTGCTGTTTGCTTGGAGGAAAGTGTATTTACTAAGAGACAAAATCCTACTACAGTACAGTTTTTCTGTAATTGCTGTTGTGTTTTAAAGGCTTTGTGCGTGAGCAAGATATTCCCAATCATTTCAGTACGCACGTTCCACTATTATATTAATAAATATTAACCTTTTCAGTTTTAAACATTTAAATTACTAATGAAAGAATATTAGAAAATAGTTCACCAGTAATTTTTAATGTTGAATTAAATAATATTTGGTTTATGCTATCACCTTCTTACTCTCTCCAAAAATCAGGTTGAGTCAGCATGGAATATCAGAAAACTGAGTGCAACTTTGTGCTGGTTCGAGGTAAGGCGAGTTTTAAGAACTGTAGTGTGTGGGTGGTTAAAATACCGTTATTACTGTGTGCTACATTCTGCTCATTCATAATTAGAGATGTATTGAATGTCTCAATGTCCTTTTGCTGTATTTAATTACGTGTTTTAACTTCCAAAATAGACTTCAGAATTATTTTAAATGTATCTTTCAGGAAGTGCATCGTATACTTTCAGGCTTAGCTTATTGTAAATGATATATTTTTGTACTGCACAGAGATTTGGTAAAGTTTTGGTATCACTCTCACCACCCCAGGAGCAAACTGTATTGTCCATTAGATGGAACACTGGTGTATATGACTAACAGCAGCATTGAGAAAGAGAAGCAAATTCTTTGGCAAGATGCCTGCATCTGATAAATAAGTCAGAACAAAATCAGGTGCTTTTTCTTTCTCTCATGGACTGGATTGTCACTCTGCAGAAGTATCAAATATATCATTCTTACCACATAAACATTTCCCCTTGAATTAATAAAACTTATCTGGTTGGATGGGTTTTGTAATATATCAATAGTAAGGATATTCTAGCAAAGCTGTGGTCTGATTAAACTAGGATTTTTCTTCTTGTTATAAAAAAACAGTAGTTCCTTTACCAGTTTGATACTGTAATATACTAAAACCACTTTTCTCAAACTGGGTCCTGACCCCCCAGGGGGTCACGAGCAACTTAGAGGGGGGTCGTGGTATCACAAAGTTTGAGAACCCCTGTACTAAAATATTTGTCAAGTATGCATATTAAGTACAACCACATTCATACAACTAGAAAATAATGGTATAAAACTCCAGCTGTTGGAACAAAAGCCAGAGATAATCTTCTGACTGAAAGCAGCTTTGGATAGTAAGACAGCAACTGTCAATCAGAAGCTTTGAAAAGTATCTTAAAAAATAACTGCAAAAATTGGCAAGTGACTTTATTTTACTGGGCAATTAGTTTTAGAAAGGATTATTCTAATTGTTATAGTTTTTACACTTAATTCTCACAAACAAGTATATTTTCTGTTTGAGGGCATACTGATCATATATTATTTTAAAGCAGTTCTGTAATTCTGCCTTCATGTTTCTCCCAGTTAAATTTGCAAAACTAGTGATCCATAATGATATTGAATGAGAGTATTGTTGCAGGCAGGAGTAAGTCTGAGGTCTGACACTGGGCTCTCAAAGTACAAAGACATGCTGTGCAGGTATCTGTCAAACACAAGCAGTTTATTTCCTGACCGTTATCAGCTGTGCCCCTTAACTAAAAGAACAACATGATAGGAAAAGCAGCATTTCTTACATCCCTTCTGCTAGCTGGGGAACCCGTTTCGGTTGTGGATGAAGTGGGAGACTGTCTCAGCTTCCAAGGCACTGGTACCAAAAGCCCATCGGTACCCAAAGCCCATCCAAATTGCTGTGATCTGGTGCAGCTTTAAATACATATTGCTGTGATCTGGTGCAGCTTTAAATACTGTGTCTCTACCTTGTTTGTGGCAGTTTGGAAATATCGGGGGGTTACTCATCCCTATACTTCACACATACAGAGTTCTTCTGCAATTGACCCCTACAAGTATCACCACAACATTTGACATTTATAACTTATGTTTCTTCTTCGAGTGATGTCCCCGTGGATGCTCCACGATAGGTGCTGGCTCCCTGGCACTGCAGGACGGAGATGTTCAAAGCCATAGTCAGTCGGACCGCGCATGCGTGGGGGAGGGGCGCATCTTGCGGCGTTTGCGCTCTCTCGCACTGCGCGATCTGGTCTTATCCAGTTCCTCTCAACCGCCTCAGGCTGCAGATGGAGCGAATTGTCTCTCCTTCTTGTTCAAAAAAGTTTTTCCTGTTACCATATAGACCGTTAAGTTTTCATTCTAAAGAAAGAATGAAGTGAGAGAAAAGGGAAAGGAGCAACGTAAATATAAAAAATGTCGGGCTCTCCTGGTTTTAAAAAATGCTCTCTATGCTGCAATGCCATGCCTGCCTCCGATGGCTGCGCGGTGTGTATCCACTTCCTTGGCGAGAGCTATGTACCGCAAAAATGTGTACATTGCTCAAAACTCACAATCAGGGCTCGCCATGACCGCAAAATGAGGCTTCGCGTGATTCTTTTTGATAAGGCATTCCAACCTGCTGGTTCAGCCTCTCCACCTCTGCCTGCTCAGCAGCCGCAGAAACGGAGCACCTCCTCTCCATCCAGGGCTCCTCCGAAGAGGCCCAGGCCCTCCCCAAGTAGATCGCTACCTTTGACTCCTCACAGCAGAACTACCTCGGGGTCTAAGTCGGACACTTCTGCTTCAAGCGCCCGTTCAGCTTCCAAGGCACCTAAAAATTTGCCTGGCATTTCTCGCTAGGCGGCTGTGACCTCTCCAATGATGGAACTGGAAGCTTCAGCACCAAAGTCATCGGCACCGTCTCTGCCGACAGAACCCCAGGCACAGTCGGCACCGTTATGGGCCGCCTCTACTTTCTCCAACTCAAGCTCCTCACCAGAGGAACTGACAGCCTCGGCACGGGAGCAAACGGCACCGACCTCAGCGCACGACTTTACGGCATGAACCGGATTGCGGGACCGAGGACAACCGGCACCGACTCGTGAACCCTTGGCACCGATGCCAGTACCGGTCTCACCAAGGGTGCAATCGGCACCGACATCGGCACGGACTCATCATGATTCGGGTGCAACACATCACCGATAGTCACCGGCATTGGTACCGGAGCACGCGGCACCATCTTTGGGACCGGAATGGACAGCACTAGCCAAAGCTCTGGCAAAGACCCACCACATTCATAGTCCGTCCCCAGCTTTGCCACCTCCTGCATTTTCATCGGCTCCCTCACTATCTCTGCCTCCACCATCAAGAAGGAGATCATCATGGCTTTCCGCAGTATAAACCCAATGCAGCAGACAGAGAGTCAAAAAGGCTCGATTTATTTGGGAGTAAAGTGTACACCTCTTCAACTTTGCTAACAACTACCTCAGGATCGCCAACTACCTCGCGCATTTATCAAATCATAACTTTGATAACTATGCAAAGCTGACAGCCCTGATGGGAGGCCTTCCAGAATCTAAGAGGCCTCTTCTTAAATCCGTGGTTCAGGAGAGTTATGCTGCCACTTGAACCAGTCTCCAGATTGCCATGGATGCGGCAGACATTGCAGCCCTCACCACTGCCACTGCTGTAGTCATGCGCAGGGCCTCGTTCCTTCAATCCGCGGGAGTCCCAAGGAGCTTCAAGCAAAACTTGAAGATTTGCCATTTGAGAAAGACGCATTGTTCGGTGAAAAGACAGACTTACAGTTTTGCATTCTAGCAAGGACACTAGAACAACATTGCGATCACTCGGAATGTACACCCCACCATATAGGACAAAGATTTATACACCATTCCAAAGACGCTACGATTATTTCCATTCCAGACAACACTGGCAACCGCAACATCAACAGTTCGATCAGCTGCGTCATAATCAACGTCAATGACCAATGAGATGCTGGAATAAAAATAACCGCATGCAAACTCAGCCCGGCAACAAGCAGCACGTTTGACACGATCGAGAGCAAGCACGCAGCCCCTCCAGCCTCATTCACATCTTTCACCATTGTTTGAGGCCCTTCTACAACCAATGGGCCAACATCACCTCCGACAAATGGGTTCTAGAAATAATCCACTCTGGGTATGTCGTTCCATTCCGCTCCCTTCCACCCACAACCCCCCATCCCAGTCCCTCTTCAAGGACCCCTCTCACAAAGACCTATTATGGGCCAAAATTTCCCATTTCCTCCACATAGGAGCAGTAGAGAACGTTTCATCTCAATTCCAAGGGAGAGGATTCTACTCCCACTACTTCCTGGTACAGAAAAAACCGGCAGATGGAGATCTATACTAGATCTTAGACAGCTGAACAAATATATCCAAAAACAACACTTCAAGATGGTGACCGTAATCTCCATTCTACCATCGCTGGAGCAGGGCGACTGGTTTGCTCCTCTCAACCTAAAAGATGCTTATTTCCACGTGACAGTTCATCCTGCTCACAGAACATTTCTGCGCTTCATGATCGGCACAGACCACTTTCAGTACCGAGTGCTGCCCTTCGACCTCGCAACAGCACTGAAAGTCTTCATGAAGACATTTGCAGTGGTGGCTGCTCACCTTCGATTCAGTGGCGTTGTCATATATCCCTACCTGGACGATTGTCTCATAAAGGGATGCTCAGTCCCAGAAACCTCAGAAATGGTGCCAATCACGATCAAAACTTTCCTTCTCCTAGGTCTCCTTCTCAATGAGGACAAATCCACCCTGATCCCTACTCAGAACCTAGAGTTTATAGGTGCTCACCTCGACTCAGTTACAGCAAGGGCATATCTACCCATGACCAGATTTCGGGCAATACAAGACCTATTAGATGAACTTCTGTACAAACGCTCAATACAAGTTATTACAGTACTCAAACTGGTGGGTCATATGGCCTCCACGACATACTTTGTTCCCCACGCCAGGTTATAATTCTGGTCGTTACAGCACTGGCTGATCACAATATATTATCCTATCAAGCACCACATAAGCATGTGGCTAACCGTCCTGTCCACGGTCAGGTCTTCCCTCCTCTGGTGGATAGTAGACAACAACTTACTTTCGGTCACTCCATTTCATCAGCCGCCCCCTCTTTGCCACATGACCACAGATGCCTCCCTCATCGGCTGGGGCGTTCACATTGCCAACCTATCTGTCTAAGGCTGTTGGTCATCACAGGAGTCTCTACTACATATAAATCTCCTGGAATTGAGGGCTGTTGCCAACGCCTGCAGACCTTTTTGCAGACAGCTCCGCAACTCCAAAGGTGGGTGTCTTCACAGACAGTATAGCAACTATGTATAAATCGTCAGGGCGATGCACGATCCCTATCACTGTGCACGGAAGCAACCCAACTGTGGAATTGGTGCATTGCCAACAGCACTACCCTTGTGGTGTCCTGTTTACCTGGCATCAGCAACACGA